AGGGAAACTGAGGGGCTGATCAGTATCAGGCAAAGCTTTTTATAGGGCATCATAAGGGGTGCATGCCATCAGCAGAGAGTGGAGCTTTAAATGATAGTTGGCCATGGAATTCCAAAACACGAGGTTCATAATGGGCATGGCATGGTGCTGAGGCGGCACTGTGCTGGGTGTGCTCCTCCAGCATTCAAAGCCAAGGACGGAAGTACCAAATCATGCTTCTGTTATTTCTAAGGGCAGCAGAAATCTTGTCATTGAAACATTTTGATAACCATTTTAATACAACGGTAGAAACTAGAAAAATCGAGGCAGAAAAACATCCCCTCTTTATGGAAAGTCTCTTACGTGCTTTTATATCATTAATTAACCCTAGGAATCCTGCAAGCTATATATTATTCTCCTCATTTTATAGCTGAGGGGAGCCTGAGCCTCGGAGAATGCCTCAGTCCATTGGGGCTGCTATAATAAACCACCAGCTGGGGCTTATCAACAGCGAACAGCGGAGGCTCACCTCTCACAGTTCTGGAGGCTGGGAAGTCCGAGATCAAGGCGCCTGCAGATGCCTCGTCTGGTGAGAGCACCCATCCCAGGGCACCCTGCCCCGTTTCCTGACATCCATCTGAGGTGACCCACCACGCCACAGGGCTGGGTGCTGGGGAATCCCTTGTATGGAGTCCCTGGGAGCCTAGGACTTTTCCCAGGTCCTCTGTGGACACAGCGGCTTTTCCTTTGCCCCTTCACCCTCAGGGCCTCCACTGGCTCCCTCCGCCCGCACGCCCCGCTCACTTCTGCCCCTCCCCCAGCTCGCATTAAAGGTCACCGGGGAGGGGGGGGGCAGTCTTCCTCCTTTACCAGGAGACTCCGGGGCGCTCTCTCCTCCACTGAAAAACTGAAGTAGTTACTACTCATCCCTAGAACGTGGCCTTTGTGGGAATGGACGCGAAGCAGTAGCTGAAGGCTGGCCCTGGAGCCATTGGTCCTGCCCTGTCCTCACTGCCTCGCCTATCTGCTCTCCAGGTGGGCATGGGGCCCCTGTCCAGCCAGCCTGTTTACCTTTCAAGTAAGGGTTTCCTACCTGCTCCCAAGTCCGGGCCTGACCCCTGACCAAGGGCCCAGCACTAGCAACTTGCTGCCCGCTCCCCCTCCCCCAGCCACATATAGGAGTTCCATGCCCCCCATATAGGGTCCTGTCTTCCCCTTGTAGGGTCCCCATCCTCTCCAGGCTTCTCAGCACGCAGTGAGCTGATGGAGATAAACATGATCGGGAGCCCCAGGAAGGCTGAGCAAAAGCACAGCAAAGGGAAGGGGCCAGCATGTTTCTGGGAAATAGCAGTGATGGGGACCCCCGAGGCAGTATGAGCCCTGCCACCCACACCGTAAATTTGGGGCCCGCTGAAAAATGAAAATGCAGGGCTCCTATTCAACAACTAGTAAGGTTTCAAGATGGCACAGCAGAATATTGAATCAATCCCAGGGCCCTTTTAAGTGTGGGTCGCATGCCCATGAAGCCAGCCCTGCTGCCACCTGAGAGTCAGAGCTCCCAAGAAAGCACAGCTACTACAGAATCTGGCAGAAGAGGCCCAGCCACCTTCTCCAACCAGCACCAGCTCCTGGGCTGAGCCAGAACCAGGAATCGCCTCGGCGCTGCCACCTGCTGGCCACCCAGGGTCACTGCACCTCCCTTCAGAGAGAAGTACCTTTGGTAAACAGGAAAAGTGGCTCGATGATCGCCAGGTGACCCCGCCTCCTTTCCGCTCACTGAAAACAGCAGGTGGGTGTGGCGGGAGGCAGAGGGGCATTCTGCCTGAGGTCACGCCAGCCACAGCACCCCAAAGATAATGGCAGAACTTAACCGTCACACTCGAACCTCTCTGTTCTTCGCAATCCCACAAAGTAGAGAGGATACCCCCATACAGAAGAGAAAATCAAATTAAGAACTTGACTTTTCTGGCTACTGCAGTTGCCTCCCATGACCCTTCCCTTATCACTCTTTGGCTACCCACTGGCCCAAGTGCTGACCCGCCTGGGCCTGCGGGTGGGGCAGTGCCCAGGACCACACTTGCCAGCATAATCCCATTACCTGGCCTCTGGGTGGGCCTAAAACCCAAGGGTAGCAGAGGGGACTTTTTAGCTGGGGCTGCTGGGAAAGATATTTTCTCACTCCCTCTGGACTCTAAGATGTGTAGACATAAGGTTCATTGCTTGAACCGCAACAAGAGGTATTTTGACACCATGATGAAAGCTGGTCTGAGCAGGAAGCGGACATGGAGAAGTGGGGGAAGAGACACAAAAGCAAGTACAGGGTAACATCTTTGATCTGCTGGCTCAAGCTGGCCTGGAAGTGCTGAGAGTTGGGGTGCCTAGCACTTTGCAGTGCCGAGAGCCAGTGAATCCCCTTGGGTATGTCAACAGTTTTGAGCAGCTGCTTGCAATGAAAGATGTCTAATGCGAAAGTCCCGCAAACTCTGATCTGCCTCTCTAGCCCCATTTTCTGTGGATCTTCTTCCTCTCTCCTTGATCTCAAGTCTTCCAGCCCCTCCATCTCCCTTGAGCCCTCAACACAGCAGCCACGCTCTCTCTCCAGGGTCTTTGCACAGGCAGCCGCAGCTGACCACACCTAGCTGACAGATCCCACAGGCCCTTACGGTCTCAGCCTAAATGCCATCTTCTCAACGAGGCTCTTCCTAACTCCAGTTAACTCCAGAAGCATCCACTGAGCTCCTATTCTACCAGACGCCAGGCTAGGCCTACACCCCATGGGGAGCTCTGGAAATGCAGGTGATCTCAGGGGAGGCAAATGAGAATCAAATGGCCACATGTCCTCAGGTGAAATAAAACAAGACCTAGACCGGGAAGCGAGCATGTGGCTAAGTCAATCTCGAGATTTCAAAGAAAGCCATGAGGCTGGAAAGTGAAGGTGGGTGGTTGGGAATGGATCTTACTGTCGTGGGAGAGGTGGGGTGCTAAGGATGGTTAGGGTTCTAGGTACATTGTGAGGTAGTCAGTTGGTCTTCTGTGTTTGCCAGGCTACTTCCAGTTCATCTTCCATCGAAGGTCTGCAAAGAATACAGTCATGGTCCAGTGAGAGCTGTATTTCTCCTTGAAGGTTAACAAATCTTTAAATGGAATTTTTTATTGTGATATAATTCACATGCCATAATAGTCACCCTTTCAAAACATAAAATTCAGTATTTTTTTCATTATATTCATAAAATTGTGTGACCATCACAAGTAATTCTAGAGCATTTTCATGACTTCACCAAGAAACCACATCCCCATTAGCGGTCAATTCTCAACTCCCCTCTCCCCCCCAGTCCTTGGAAACCAGTAATCTTCTTTCTGTCTCTAAAGAATTGCTAATTCTGGATATTTCATATACGTGGACTCAAGAAAATATCGGGTATTTTGCATCTGGCTTCTTTCCATAAGCATAATGTTTTCAAAGTTCAATCATGTTGTAGCATAGCTAAGTACTTTATTTCTTTTTATTGCTGAATAGTATTCCATTGTATGGAGATACCACGTTTTGTTTATCCATTCATTTTATGTTGTTTCAGTTTTCGTCAATTATGAGGAATGTTACTATGAACATTTATGTACAAGTTTTTGTTTGGACATATGATTTCATTTCTCTTGGCTATACTTAGGAGAAGATTTGCTGCATTATATGACAAATCCATATTTAACCATTCGAGGAACTGCCCAACTATTTTCCAAAGCAGTTACAGCATTTTACATTTCTACCAACAGTGTACAAGAGTTTTGATTTCTCCACATCCTCATCAACACTTGTTATTATCTGACTTTTCGATTATAGCCATCCTTCACATCCTGGCTGTGAAGATGTATCTCATTGTGGTTTTGATTTGTATTTCCCTGCTGACTGGGGATATCGAGCGTCTTTTCATGTGTTTATGTGCAAATATATTTGTTATATCTTCTATGAAAAATGTCAATTCAAATCCTTGCCCATCTTTTAATTGGAGATTTTGTTTTTGTTGTTTTGAGTTGTAGGAATTCTTTATATATTCTGGATATTAACCCCTTAGCAGATATAGGATTAGCAAATATTTTCTCCCATTCTGTGGGTTATCTTTTCACTTTCTTGGTAGTGTTCTTTGCAATATAAAATTTTTTATTTTGCTGAAGTCCAATATATCTATTTTTTTTTGTTGTTGCTTATGCTTTGGTATTACACCTAGGAAATAATTGCCTACTCCCAAATTAGGAAGCTTCCTGTCTAGGTTTTCTTCTAAAAGTTTTATAGCTTTAGCTCTTACATTTAGGTCATTGATCTATTAATTTTTATATATGGCATGAGATAGGGATCCAATTTTATTCTTTTGTATGTGGATATCTAGTCCCAGTACCATTTGTTGAAGAGATTGTTTCCTCATTAAATTATCTTGGCACTTTTGTCAAAATAAATTGACCATAAACGTATAGGTTTATTTCTGGATTTTTGAATCTATTCCATTGATCTGTATGTCTATCCTTAGGCCAGGATGATGCAGTCTTGATTACCATAGCTTTGTAGTTAAGTTTTGAAGACTGGAAGTGTGTCCCCCAACTTTGTTCTTTTCCAGCATTGTTTGGCTATTCTGGGTCTCTTGGATTTTAGGATCTCCTGTAAAAACAGGGAGCTGGAATTTTGATAGGGATTGTGTTGAATCTGGAGATCAATTTGGGGAGTATTGCCATCCTAACTAAATTGAGTCTTCTAATCCATGAATATAGGATTTCTTTCAATTATTTTTTTTGTAGTTTTCAGTGTACAAGTCTTGCACTCCTTTGTTAAACTTATCTCTAAGTGTTTTCTTAATTCTGTTTTGCTTGTCTATTGCTATCGTATAGCAATATATATGATTTTTGCATGTTGATCTTATATCCTGCAATCTTGCTGAACTTTTCATTAGCTCTACCTCTAATAGTTTTTTCGGGGGGGCAGTGGGGCAAATCCTGTTGGATTTTTATATACAAGATCATGTCATCTGTAAGTAGAGATAGTTTTACTTCTTCCTTTTCAAACTGGATGCCTTCCCCGCACCTTGCCAGTTACCCTGGATAAAACCTCCAGTACGATGTTGAAAAGAAGTGGTGATAGCAGACATGTTGGTCTTACTTACAATCTTAGGGGAAAAGTTCCAGTCTTTCTTTCACCATTGAGTTTGTTATTAGTTGTGGATTTTTTGTAGACACCTTTTTATCATGTTGAAGAAGCACTCTTCTATTTCTTTGTTGAGTGTTTTTATCATGAAAGGGTACTGGATTTTGTGAAATGCTTTTTCTGCATCTGTTAAGATAAATATATGGCTTTTGTCATTTTATAGTTGACACATTTTCAAAAGCAGAGTGGATGAATAGGAACTAGGAAACTGGGAGACAGGAATGCAAGAGAGACTTTTTTCTGTCTATCGTTTTATATTTTTTGGTTTCTTAACTGTATCTCTTATTCAGAAAATAAAACTATCTTTTTTAAAATTGTGGCAACATAAGCATAATATAAAATTTACCACCTTAATGATTTTTAAGTGTACAATTCAGTAGTGTTAAGTATATTCACATTGTTGTGCAACCTCCAGAACTTTTTCATCTTGCAAAACTGAAAATCTATACCCATGAAACAACAGTTTCCCATCCTTCTCTTCCTGGCCCCTGCAAAGCACCAGTCTATCTTCTGTATCTATGACTACTCTAGGTACCTCATATAAGTGAAATCATACAGTTATTTGTCTTTTTGTGACTCGCTTATTTCATTTGTCATTATTTCATAATGTCTTGAAGGTTCATCCATGTTGTAACATGTGTTACAATTTCCTTTCTTTTTTAAGGCTGAATAATATTCGTGTGTGTGTGCGTGTGTGTGCACGTGCGTGTCACATTTTGTTTATCCATTCACTCACTGAAGGACATTTGGGACCTTCTGGCTATGGTGAATAAAGGCCAAACATGGCTATGGAATATGGGTGTGCAAATGTCTTTGAGATCTTGCTTTCAATTCTTTTAGATATATCCCCAGAAATGGTATTGTTGGATCATATGGTAATTCTATTTTTAATTTCTTGAGGAACCATCATATCGTTTTCCATGGCAGCTGTACCATTTACACTCCCATCGACAGTTTCTCCACATCCTCACTGACACTTGGTTTCTGTTTTTTGATAGTAAGCATGCTAATGGGCATGAGGTGTAAATTATCTTTTAAAAGTTCAGGTTTCTGAATCTATAAAGTTGAGGTCCAGACCCTGAGCTACTTTCAACCTCATCTTCTTTCAGTCCTCTGCACAGGGCAGGGCGAGGACAACTGGAGGACTGGACAGGAACAGAGGCTGAGGCCCCAGGAGCAGCAGAGATTCAGGAAGGATGGTGCCTGGCTGGGAAGGATGCTGCTGGGAAAGGTGCCCCGGCTCAGGTAAGGTGGCCACGGGCTGGGGTTAGACTGCAGGACCTGGAAGCAGCTGCCTTGTTCTCTGGAGTATCTCAGATGTCACATTCTTTGGAGTTCCTGCGATCTCCCTGGCTAATCCTGAGTTCCTCCAATAGCTCTAAGCCACCATTCACAGAATCAGCATTTATTGAGCACCAACTGTTTGCCAACTGTTATAGAGCCTAGAGTTAAAAGGACAAATTCCACATGACCTCAAGAAGCATACTTACCCACAAGCATTGTGACAGCTGGTGACCTCGGGGCATAGAGGAGTACCCAGTCCAGTCTGGGGATAACAGGAGGACTCCATGAAGAGGTGGCTGAGTCCCGAAAGCCGACCTGGAGGCCAAGGATGGGAGGAGATCATCTCAGGCAGGGGAAGCAGCACAGGAGAAGGTGCAGGTGGGACAGAGCCCCAGAGGGCACACTGGGGGAAGGCCAGTGGTGCAATTGGCTGAAGCCTGGAGGTCGCAGCAGGACACAGGACCGGGACTAGGGTGAGGCAAGTGAGGCACTTGCCTTGGGTGCAAAATTTAAGGCCAAAAACTCAGTAACCGATATAATATTTAAAAACAAGATTTGAAAATGCAAATTAATGCAAGAAAAGCTGTGATGAACAAAATATCAAGTTTTCCTAAGGATGGGATCAGTAACAGGGCTGTGCCAAGCCACAGAAGAGCCTAAAGGGGAAAGGAGTATCAGTGATACTGATCTTATGTTTATTTTAAATTCTGATATTGTGTTCATCATGGATTTTTCACACTATTTTTAAAAAATTGCACTGAAATATTATTTATCTTGATTATTGAGTTTTTGGTGTCCCTTAAATTTTGTGCCTGAGACAAATGCTTTACTTGCCTCGCCTTGGTCTCCGTCTCTGCAGTGGGAAGTGAGTTTTCGATGGTGGGCTAAGGCACTTGGGTTTTATCCTGCCAGCTATGAGAAGTCATTGAAATCTTTTCATTATTAGAATGTGTTTGTATTTGTTAATTAAAAAAAAAAAAAACTGACGTGGCCACAGTGTGGTAGATTAAGATAGAGGGTACAGGGACAAGACTGGTGTCAGGGAGGCCAGTTGGGAATTGCTGTGTTAATCTTGGGAATTGCTGTGTTAATCCAGGCAAGAAATGATGAGGGCTTGAATTAGAAGAGTACTGGGAAGAGTAGCGGACTGATTCCAAAGACACCTGAAGGCCAGGCTTTGGGAAGCACCTGCTGTGGGAGCTGAGGGAGAGGGTCCAGCTCTCGGCTGAAGGGCCTGGTCGCTGTGTCTCATTTCTGAGGTATGAAAGATGGCAGTGGAGGGTGGAGAAAGAAGCTGAGTTCAGTATGTGACACTCTGAATTAGAAGATTTACAGGACACCAAAGGGAGATGTCTAGAGTCCATGAAGAAGGTTGTTCCTGGAGAGACCCCGATTTGGGCGCTATCAGGTGGCAGCTGTCCACTGGGAGGTGGAGCCGTGGCTGAGAAGCTGCAGCTGCCACCAGAGAAGGAGCCTCAAACAGAGGAGCAGGAGGTGGGGTTGTATACAGAAGGGAGTTGAAGCCTCGGGGCCAGGAGGCTATCTAGGGAGAGAACATCCAGGAAGAAGAAAGTAAGAAGGTGGGTGAAGAGGTAGGAGGCAGGGGAGACACTGCAAGGAAATGCGGTCAAGGAAAGAAGCCACAGAAAGGTCCAGAGAGAGAAGGTCTAAAAGGGTCCTTTGGGCTAGCAACCAAGAGGGTGTTGGGGGTACCGAAAGGGACTGGCAGCAACTTTCCTCGACTCCTCCCAGAAGCTTGCTCCCATGAAGGATAAGAGAAGGGAAGTGGGTACTGAGATGCAAGGTGTGGCTGAGGAGATCATTGAAGAGGAGCCTCCGGGAGGGGGCAGGGAGAGGCTCCTTGCCATGATGGGATGTTGTTTAGAGAAAGATTCCAGTTTCCCTTGGGCCTCGATGGGTGAAAGCTAAGGACCAGGGCTATGTGTAAACCAGAAGGTGGGAATGCCTATGGGAGGTCTGTTTTTCTCTGTGAAATGGGAAATAGGGTAACTTGTGAGGGAGGGCGGAGAGGGAGAGCTGAGGAGCCTGAGAGATGACTTGGAATGGATGCTGGCGAGATGGTCATGAGAGCCACCATCCAACCTAGAGCTCCTGGAAGACTTTTTGAGCAACTGCTAAGCACGACGGGTGGAGCCCCTGATCTGTGTGATCACGAGATTTCTCTCCAGCAGGGCCCAACCTCCTGGATGTAGAAGAGAAAGCTGACGATGTGTCTGGACGAGGAGCTGCAGCGGGAGACTCAGGGACAGTGATCATCTAGGGCTTGTGACCAGTCTTCCTCCAGCAGGTCAGGGGCTCCCCAGTCACTGGTGCAGCTGGGGAGCCGAGGGCTGACCAGGGAGGCTCTAAGTTGGCAGATGAAGCTTCTCAGGCTGCCTCCAGGAGACAAAGGCCAGGCCCTTTGACTCTGGCCCCTGAGCCCAGGTTGCCTCGTGCATGGAAACACCGGCCTAAACACCAAGCAAGGACTGGCAAGGGAGGAAGAGCTTAGGATCCCCCTTCGGCATCTGGCTGAAAGTTCTGGACAGCATTTGAAGGCCTCAGGGCACTCAAAAAGACAAAAGCAGGCGGAGTTGGTAAAGGGAACTTGGCTTTGCCCATCCTGACAGCGTCACAGCAGACATCATGCCTCTGGCAAGCTAAGGTATTGATAAATACCTGCAGAAGACTCCATTAGAGTGATGTGATAAGGAGTCTGTGTGGCACTTTTCATTGGAGGGTGGGGAAAGGCCTCTTTAAGAGGCGATATAAACTGAGATCTGAATGACAAGGAGCCAGCCATGCCAATATGTCTAAACTCCACCCTTGTCTCATGATCATGCCCACTGCTCCTCTCTCCAGCCTCGAGTGCAGTACTCTTGCTCTGCGCCATACTGCCTGGAAACACCGGGGTCTTATTCCTCCATGCCTTGCGCATGCTGTTCTTTCTGTCCCATCTCCCACTAAATGTTCCGTCAGCCCCCATCCCAGAGTTTGAAATATGACTCTCCTCACGGGCTTTCCACAGATCATCAGAAGGCAGGGTGTAGACCACAGAACCCGCCCCAGCCTCCTCCCTGATCAGTGGGTAGCTGTGGGTTTTCTATACACTTAGTCCCAGTAGAGTCCCTAAGAATTGCAAAATAACTTGATTGCTCACCAGAACCCCCAGGAGCCTTTGTTAAGATACAAAATTCTGAGCCTCAGCCCAGACTTCTTTAATTAGAATCTCCAGAGGTGATTCTGAACATCAGTTCAATTGGGGAAATACGGTCGTAGCTGAAGGTATCCTGCTTTTGTAGAACAATTAGGTATCAGATGCCCAGGATATATCCTAGGCAAACTCTAAACTGAAGGCAGTGGTCCGGGTTAAGATTGTCCACAGTGACCTAACTGAGTAATTGGCAAAGGCACAAAGACTCTAATGTGCCTCCGCCATGGAGGGAACTTTTCCCTCGGCTCCTTTGACATACTCCTCCTGGACCATCTGGTAACAGACTCAGCCACATTTTAGTCCCAAATAACAAAGAGAGAACTTGTGAATGGTCAAAAGCGTGGCACCGTGGTGAGCCTGACCAAGTTCCTCTCCCCATCCCGCAGTTGTAACATCCTGTGACCACCAGAAAGTTATCTTCCCCAACCGGTTTCCATTGGAATACCTAACGCGGGGTTGAGATTAGTTTTGTTTGTGCGCTACCGACAGTAAACCAGAGAAACACGCAAGACTGCCTTTATTAACAGCTCTCAGGAGGCAATTTAAGGCACGTGACCAGGGAAGGGAATCACCTGCACTTAGGGGGGATTTTCTAGCACTGATTCGTAGGCGCGCGGGGAAAAGGTGGGCCTCAGCCTGGGGCGTTGTGAACCTGTGGTCTCCGAAGGTCTCGGGCTCATCAGCACGGAAACGGGGGACAAACTCTTTCCTTCAAGGCCGCCTCGAGGCTGAGCGTGAAACGAGAGACGGGGCCGCAAAGAAACTCCACTCGAGTCGACAGGATTCGGACACATTAGGGTCCCGAAGATCACCAATACCGACCGCCCCCAGAATCCGACACACGCGGCGCCAAAAAATATCCACCCCACGGCGCAAGCGCCGGGAGCGCAGGCCGCGGAGGGACACTTCGGAACCGTGCGCCCACCGCCCAATCAGCGCCGGCTTTGCACAAAGCGAGTCCCGCCCCCCAGGCGCCGAAACCGACTCTCCTCCCTCTCTTCTGGCCGCCTCGGCCCGCCCACTCCCGCCCGCGCCCCGCCCCGCGCCGCTCTCGACAGAGGCTCACGGTTGGCTCATGGGATGAGCGCGAACTCTGGTTGGTCGAAAAGGAGTCACGAGGGTGCCGTCGTCGCCTTTCCAGAGGCGATTACTGGGCAGGCTCAGTCTTTCGCCTCAGTCTCGAGCTCTAGCTGGCAGCCAAGCGTACGCGCTCCGAGTCTTCAGTACCAGCGGCCGCCATCGACGTCGTTGGGTTCCTTCGGGCTCATCTGCGCCACTCGCCTGCCACACGCTCCGCCGTTATTAGCCGCCATCATGGTGAAGCTCGCAAAGGTAAGAGGCTTCGCGCTTGCAACCACGGACATCGAGGCCTGTTTCCCGAGGAGCGCGCGCGCGCGCGGCGCCGCGAGGAGGAGGGCCTCCGCGCCGTCCCGGGCGCGTTCGAGGGCGCCATGCTGCGGGAAGTCTCGCGTGATTAGCGGGGAGGTCTCGCGGCTTTTGGCGACTTGGTGGCGAGGTGAAGAGCTTCGGCAGGTGCTGCGGGTAGTTGATGATGGGGGGGGAAAGACCTCAGGATTGAGCGCGGAGAGGGGGCGCTGGGCGTCAGCGTGGAGGGAGGAGGCCGGACTCCTGCTCCGGGCGCGAGCGGGGCCCCGCCTCCTGACGCACGTGCCCGGGTGCGCGGCCCGCCACGTGGGCCGCGCCGCGTCGGGCCCGGCCTCTCCGGAGGGGTCTCGGCTTTGAGGCGGGCAGCGGCGGGGCTTGTGCGGCGCTGCGCACGTGGTGGCCCGTGAGGTATCCCCACGTGGCCCCGGTGGGTCTGGCGGGGGCGGGGTCCTTTCCCTGGGAAAGGAACACTTCATGAGGGGACCGAAGGTAGGTTAAGACGTGATTTTTTTAAAAAAAAGTTGTGT